ACCAGAGGCGGTTTGGTGACCCTACCCCAGAAAAGTTTGCAATCACGCCAGAGCTAGAGTTTTTGACCGATCAATTTCTTCTCTTCAGGCTTTAGTTAGGGTACCAATATGTGCAATTTGTATATCTCGGAATTTTGATATCCGTGACCGGTCAGGTCAGTTTCGCGACCTCCCAATTATAAGTCAATGGGGGAAAAATCAACTCCCTGCTTTTACCACTAAAACGGGTCGGAATGGCCCCATATACCATACATGACTTCATATACGATCAACCTTCACTACCTTGAGGTCTGTTTTGCTGTTGGGCAGCTGTGAGGTCATGTGACGTCACCAAAGGTCACCAAAGGTTTTTGGCCAATAACTCCGTACAGGAACAAGATACAGCCGCGTGGATGGTCTCATTGTGTTCAGCTCGTCAAGACGCATCGAATGATATACATGATGACCTCGAGGTCACGTGACCTGAGGTCAACCTTTGGCCTTGACCTTTCGAGGTCAACATATATATCATTCGATGCGGATTGACGAGAGGATCACGATGATGCCCTTAGTTTGTTCCTATCTTGACTAATTCGAAAGTTATTCGAGAAAAACTTTCTCCATATCTAGCGCCGCCATTTTGACTTTTTCGACCCCTGTGACGTCATCTTTGACCTGACCTGAAAATGACCTTAGTAAAAATTGTAGATCTTGACCGTGCGTATCCGATGCCGTTTACCGTTTGTCGCTGCGATGTGTAGTTTTTGAGATCTGAAGGGGGGCCGAATCGCCCCCCCCCCGCCAGTTTCTTGTCCCGGCGGAGCCCGCCAGGAATAGGGTTAAACTAGCATCATTCATAAGAGTGCTTTTGAAAATTCAGCAAGGATAAAAAACAGTTGCATATGAGAACAAGCCTAGCCCCAATGTCACATATCAACAGATTTGGAAATTACAAGGATGGTAGGTATAGATTGTGATGCATCATGCTCAAGATAAACTCAAAGAGATACAAAAAGAGATACAACCTACAAAACAGCCAACCTACAAACCAGCCAACCTACAACCTAAAACCTACAACCTAACCTAACCTAAAATCTAAAAACATACAACCTTAACCAGCGCCACACTGGGGGGGGGGGGCTATTCATAGCCCCTCCCGGTTTTCTGCAATAACTTCTAAAACGCTTGACGTATCGCCGCCAAACTTTCAGTACCTTCGGCTGCATCAATTTGACACCTTGAGTCAACATTTGAACTTCGTATCTATCATAGGTCGGCCGGAAATAACGTCAGAGCGACGTCATGTTCGGCCGATTTCGACGCAAAACATTGAACCACGGGAATCGCTCCCAAGAGCTCAGTTTTTGAGCTAGATCCAATTTCTTTGCATGAGAGGACTCAGAATGGACTGCGCTATCAAACTGCTAGCAAGTTTTAGCCAGATATCTTCAAAAATGGCCAAGTTATACGCATTATAGCAAAAATTTCACAATTTTAATTTTTTCAAATCAATTTCTCTGTACGAATTTGACATCGTACATCAATATAAATAGCACCATTGTGTTTCTGAGCTCAAACTGCATCCGATAGACATGCTTTTTTATTCAAAAATTTCAACTTTAAAATTTGACCTTTTTTGACCTGAAAGTGACCTGACCTCAGCTATATTCAGATGAAAATGGCCTCAAATGACACAGGCGACACCGAATTCGAAATCTATGGCCTAAATGGACCATAAAACATGTGTCACGTGACCGACTTCTGACATAAGATTTCTGTGACCTATGATGACCTGACCCTGACCTGAAAATCAAAGTACAAGTTTGGTACCCTCAGGGTATCTAAAGCATCTGTTCACGAGTGCTTTAAAAACTCAGCCTGATCTGACTTGTAAGACGGCAGCCAGCTCCCAAAATGTGAACAAGCCAAATATCGATAATTTTTACTTTGACCTGACCTGTGACGTCATCGGTGACCTCGAGGTCAATGAAATTAGGTTTCGCTCGACAGTTTTTCCGGGGCTATCAGATGCCGTTTGAATTTTGACGATCGGCCCAGTAGTTTCGGAGTTAGGAGGGGGGGGGGGCTATGAATAGCCCAACCTCTGCAGCCCAACCGGCTATGAATAGTGAACCTCTGCACAGTCTTCAGATGTCGCAACTTCGCAACGCCCTCACTGCCAGAGGAGATGTCACGGGGAAATGAAACTTGCAGGATCTAGTATCCATTATGAGTCTCACAACTTGTATATCTCGGATTTTTCCTAAAGGTCATATGAGGTCACGTCATTTTCGTGACATCACCATTATAAGTCAATGGAGAAAAATGAAAACTGCTATTCTGGCGCCGGGAACGATCTCCAACTATCTCAAGCACACAGAATCGTGATTTGATGCACTCCTTGCAAGGTTAGATGCGTCACTTTTGTAATGTTGACCTTGCGTGACGTCATTTATGACATCAAGGTCATATTAGTTTTTCGTCAACAACTCTTGATCAAATTGAGCTAGCGAGTCGGGAAGGCCACCAATGGACTCAGAAAGACCTGCCGAATCTAATAATATGCAACATGACCTCTTTCGACCAACTTCGTGACCTGGGGGTGCTGACCTGACCTTGACCTGAGGTCAACACCCCAAGTTGACCTGACCCGGACAAAAAGTATATCATTCGACGCGCCTGAGCGAGGCGAACACGATGCTGCCAAAATCGCGGCTCTGCGGCCGTTTTTTGCGAAGTTATTCACCAAAAACTGAACCGTACCTTGGGGCATTTGACCTGACCTCAGAGGTCACCGGTTGACCTAGGACCTTAAAATCGGGTACCAATCTCTGCGTCTCGTAACGGCGCACACGCTCGTTTTTTCCGCGACGCGCTAGCTCCACCAGGGGCGAAACGGCGAGGGGGGTCGTACCCGCCCCCCTCGGCCGGCGCGTATGTAGAAAACCAATAGGTCCGGCGAGGGTTAAGGGGGATAACGACAACTCAAGAAACTCAAGATTAAGAAACGATATTTTTTAAATTACTTTTTTATTTTCTAGATCACTGTGCTTCACAATTAACATTGTGAAATGCAGTGATCAAGGTCATATGTGACCGAAAGCTTTGTGTATTTAAAAGTAATAAAAAAATAAATATTGTTTTGTAATCTTGAGTTTCTTGAGTTGTCGTTATCCAACTGTCATGGATGCTTTACAATTATACAACCTTAAACGGCCGTACAAATTATGCTGTTGCACATTCATATTAACCCGCGCACCGACGGGGGGGGGCGGATATCTGCCCCCCCCCCTCTGAGGTTTTTCGCGAATAGCGGGAAAACCGCGGCGCGTAGCGCCGCGAAATTTGGTATGACTATTCCCTAATCAATTTTACACATGGTGTGCAAGCTTGAACCTCCTACCTTTTAAGGTCAGGTCACCAGGTCACTTTGAATGACCCAACCTCAAGTCACTTTTTTGCAACTTTGTCACCGTGCCAGAGCTACAGTAGACGTCAGAAACCTTTGAAAGTCGCAGGATGTTATTAGGTCATTAGTAGCTACAATTTGTATATCTCGGAATTTTGATATCGGTGACCTAAGGTCAGGTCAATTTCGCGACCTCCCCATTATAAGTCAATGGGGGAAAAATCAACTCCCTATTTTTACCACTAAAACGGGTCGGAATGGCCCCATATACCATACATGACTTTATATACGATCAACCTTCACTACCTTGAGGTCTGTTTTGCTGTTGGGCAGCTGTGAGGTCATGTGACGTCATCAAAGGTCACCAAAGGTTTTTGGCCAATGGCGGTGTTTCACGGGACGCTGCTACCACGCTGCTATCAAATTGCGCGAGCTGACGTCACACTTGTGGTAGTGTTGGAGCAATGGGCCTGTTGATGTTTCCATGGAAACCCAATTTGACACGTGTAAAAGCAGCGTGCTGCTATCACCGGTGAAACAGGGCCAATAACTCCGTACAGGAACAAGATACAGCCGCGTGGATGGTCTCATTGTGTTCAGCTCGTCAAGACGCATCGAATGATATACATGATGACCTCGAGGTCATGTGACCTGAGGTCAACCTTTGACCTTGACCTTTCGAGGTCAACATATATATCATTCGATGCGGATTGACGAGAGGATCACGATGATGCCCTTAGTTTGTTCCTATCTTGACTAATTCGAAAGTTATTCGAGAAAAACTCTATCAATATCTAGCACCGCCATTTTGACTTTTTTTACCCCTGTGACGTCATCTTTGACCTGACCTGAAAATGACCTTAGTAAAAATTGTAGATCTTGACCGTGCATATCCGATGCCGTTTACCGCTTGTCGCTATCTTGCTTCGTTCTCGAGATCTCAGGGGGGCGGTCATCCGCCCCCCCCGTCGGTGCGAAGTTGGCGCAGACCCCCGTTGGTGCGCGGGTTAATGGCACCACAATTGTAGATTGGACCTTTTCCAAACAAATACCATAGGTTCTAGGTGGTAGGCTGTAAGTTGTAGGTTTTAGGTTGTAGGTAAGGTTAGGTCAGGTTTGGTTAGGTTTGGTTTGGTTTGATTAGAAAGCATCTTGAGGTAAAGTGCCTCTCCTTGGTAAAGTTGCAAAAAACAAGTTGAAGTGTGACACTTGCTTCACGACTACCAAAGTGAGAAGACTGCAGAACGAGAGGTAAATTGCAAAGAAAAACACCAACAAGCTTTGGCATTAGTAGAGCAGACACCACATAAAGGTTTTCCAACTGAGGAGAGGCGCTGTAGGTTTGTAGGTTGTAGGGTAGGTTTGTAGGTACTAGGTAGTAGGTTGTAGGTTTTTAGGTTGTAGGTTTGTAGGTTGTAGGTACTGGTCATAAAAGTACTCATGCTAGGCAATGTTTGCTAGCACTTCTACGTTTTTGTCAATTCATTGTTTCAGTTTCAGAGCATATTACTTGAAAACTGAAAGTGGAAAAAAATACCTAGGCACCTACTAACAGAAAAAAACTTGAAGGGAATGAACAACTAATAATTCAAATAAAGAGAAATATGCCTACCTTTGTTTTGCAATTTAGCAAAAAATGCTTCAAAATTAAAAACACGTTCCCACTAGGCACAAAAGACTTGAATAAATAAATTAAGTCGTGACCCACTTATGCACGAGCTTGTGTAGGTTATTGAACATAAGGACTCATGTTCTACTAGAGTATCATTCGCAATAAGCTGCAATGCCGAAAATCACGCCGCGTCGATTTAAAACACGTGTAGATGAAACCAGCATTAAAAACTCATTTTCAGCATAATTTGACATCGAATAAAAGATTCTCTGATCATCATTTAGCACAGGCAAAGGCATATTTGAGCCTTTATTTAAGCAAAATGTTGTCGAAACTCTTGCTATTGCAACGCGTTTGCCTTTTGGCTTTTCACCAATGGCAAACAAGCGAATTCAATATTGAACATCATCACTAGAATGTAGTACGCTTTTTTCGTCTTTGTTGCGTGTTTTATGCCTCGTATTCGGTAGAACCAAATTACCTAATTGCCGAAAATTTGCCTAAATTATCTAACAATTATATCCGGACGCCATTTAATTGCGTCCCAGAAAAGCTATTTCTGGCACCTAAAAGCTGACTCGCCCCAAAATTGGTCCTCAGCACCTATTTGGTGGATACCAGCACCAATCATGGAAAATGACCTTAATTAGCTGTTTCTGGCACCTATTCATCGGTACGCCTTACTCTTTTTTCTGAATCTGGCACCTAAATGCTGAGCGTAGCACCAATCTAGTAGAAAAATGAACTACTGGCTGGTAGAATCATGTTGTTCTGGTATAATGACCCCTGGAGTCTAGCCTAAAGGTTGCCAGTGCAGCTACACTCTAAGACAGCCCCGTAGTGATCTCAGCATTGTATATGACGTTTAAGTAAGCAAATAATATTGATTTGTTTGAAAAAAACAATGTCATTTAAATATTTAAAAGTATTTATTTTTAATGCTTAATTGGAAACATTTTTGTGAGCAATTGTCTCGATTTTGACCATTAAAACGGGTATTGTATTTTTTGACGTCATCAAATAGCTCCAAAAAAGAAATGTAATGTTTTCATTCCGTTCAAGGCCGCTGAAGAAACGCGGGATCTTGCGTGGGACATTAACCCGGTTTACATAGCATATTTGACGAGGCTCTAGTTCGTTAATTTGGCGATAATTTCGATGCAGTGTGTGTCGTGCGTATCTTAAATGCACCGTACATGTGTTTGATGCTGCCCCTAGATGGCAGCACAAGGGAGCTAGCTGTTGTTGGCAGGAGAGCGCCATGTTGTTGTTATTGTTTTGTTGTGTACTGAGCTGGTCGGAGTGACCGCTCCGTGTTTAGGAGATGAGCCTTGCCCTTATTCGTTCAACTTGAGTGCTCTGCTGGAACTCAATACAGATACTCAATACCATTACGTTACCTTACGTTACATGGTGTCAGAAGATGGCGACGAACTTTCGCCCCCCACCAGAAATAAACATGGCGTCGCCGACACTGGGTTCCGAATGGCGACAGTGGCGAAGAGAATGGAAATATTATGCAGTGGCATCCGAACTGATGACAAAACCGCCACTGGTACAGGTGGCTACGTTCTTTAACTGCGCAGGACGTGGGGCTCAGGAAGTTGCGTCGCATTTTCCTGACTGGGAAGAGACAAATGGCGACCTTGAAACGCTACTGGAGCGCTTCGATGCGTTTTGCATCCCACGGCAAAATATCGTCATGGAACGATTCAAGTTTTATAATCGAACCCAAGGGCCGGGCGAGCCCATCCTGCAATTCGTGGCAGCTTTGAGGACCATGGCTGCAACATGCGAGTTCCCGGATCGCGACAATATGCTACGGGACCGCGTTGTGATGGGTGTGAGGGACTCCCGCACACAGCAGGCCCTTCTGAAGAAGTCTGGCCTCTCGCTCACACAGGCGATTGACATCGCACTTGCCGAAGAAGCGGCCAGCCGTGACTCCAAGTTGATCAGCGCCGGAGACGAGCAGCGGCCGCCGACTGAGAGTGGAGTAGCTGCATCTATGGTGGCCCGACAGTGTCGCTTCTGCTGCCAATCTCACCAGATGGCTCGAAAGTATTGCCCAGCGTGGGGCAAAACGTGTGCAGTGTGCCAAGGCACGAACCACTTCGCCGGCAGCCAGCAGTGCCCGGGGCGCGCCGCTGAGCCGCGCCCGCGCCGCCCAGCCGGCGGCAGCGCTCAGCCGACGGCGCGCCGATCAGCTGACTGGCGGCCGGCTCCAGCCGCCGCGCAGGGACGGCGGCCGGCGAGTCGGCCGGCGGCGGCGGCGGTACAGCCGGAGGTATCACCGCCAGCCAACGTCAGCCCGGAGGCTGAGTTCGACATCATGACGACCGAAGGTTTTCCAAGTAAGGCCCACAAAACACTTTTCACTGCGGGTGGAGTGCCGGTGACATTTTTAATCGACTCCGGTGCTGAATGTGACGTCATTACACGTGCTGACTATGTGCGGCTGACGGGTGACGAGCAGGGTGAGCGGCTGAGGCCGTGCTCGACGGCACTCCGCATGTATGACGGGGGACTCGTGTACACGGATGGAAAAGTGAATCTTGAACTAAGTAACCCTGTGACGGGGCACAACTGTACGCTACAATGTAAAGTAGTCAAGGCGGCTATCGCGCCGATCCTTAGTCTAAAGACATCGCTCCGTCTAGGGCTGATCGACGTCAAAGACAGTGACCCGTTGGAGTATGTGTACCACTCACCTAACAGCCGGTCACGGGCACCGACCCCCGCCCCTCCGCCCACTGGCCGGTCACGAATTATCGACCAGTATCGGGATGTGTTTGATACAAGCAGGGTGGGTCTGATTTTGAAAGACTACGAGATTGTCACCGATCCCTCTGCGGTCCCCGTGGTCGACGCTCCTCGCAGGGTCCGTATTCACGTGAGGGACAAACTGAAACGGAAGTTGGACGAGCTCGAGGCTCTTGGCGTCGTGTCACCGATCGTTGAACCCACTGACTGGGTTTCCCACCCCGTGATCGTAGATAAGCCGTCAGGTGACATCCGACTCTGCATCGACCCCCGCCATCTAAACAAGGCGGTGCGCCGGGAGCACTATCCAACCCCGACTGTTGACGAGATAACCGCGCGTATGAGTGATGCTAAAGTGTATAGCGTGTTGGATGCCGCAAACGCCTTCTGGCAGATCGGATTGTCGGAGGCGTCAGCGCGTTTGTGTTGCTTCCACACACCCTTCGGCCGGTACGTGTGGAAGCGCCTGCCGTATGGTGTTACTTCGAGCCCTGAAATCTGGCAGCGAGTCATCAATGATCTAGTTAGTGGTCTACGCGGTGTAGAGGTTATCGCCGATGATGTAGTGGTTGTAGGCAGGGGGGCGTCCATGTCTGAGGCGGAGGATGATCACGATCGAAATCTCTGTGCGTTCCTCGATCGCGCTCGATCCAGGAACTTGGTGCTCAACCCGGACAAATTCCGCTACAAGGTCCCGGAGATCAAGTGGATGGGTCATGTCCTGACCTCCGAGGGAGGCATGCGGCCAGATCCGGCGAAAGTCGCGGCTGTTCACGAGTACCCAGTCCCCACTGACGTGCCCAGTCTGAAACGGTTTCTAGGCATGGTCAGTTTTCTCTCCCGCTATATTCCGAACGTCTCCCACCTCCTGGCGCCGCTCCGCGCGCTGACACAGTCGCGCAACGAGTGGTCGTGGTCCCACGTGTGTCAAAGCGCATTTGACCGGGTCAAAACGCTGCTGACGAGCGCGCCAGTTCTGAAATTCTACGATCCGCGGTCACCGGCTACCGTCCAGTGCGATGCCTCGAGCTATGGCCTCGGCGCCGTCCTGCTTCAGGGGGACAGCCTGTCACATATTGTTCCCGCTCACTCACGGCATGTGAAATCGCGTACTCCCAGCTGGAAAAAGAACTACTGGCGATCAGTTTTGCGTTGACGCGGCTCGATCAGTATGTGTATGGCCGGCACGTGACTGTGGAGACAGATCACAAACCGCTGGTGCCGATCATGGCAAAACCCCTGTGTGATGCCCCGTTGCGTCTTCAGCGGATGCTGCTTCAGCTCCAACGGTACGATTTTAAAATTGTGTATCGTCCCGGCTCACAGGTCCCTGTAGCCGATGCCCTGAGCCGAGCCCCAGTCAAAACGCCGCAAGCCGCGTTCGCTGTGGAGACCTCGTCACTTCGCCTCGTTGATGGCATTTCTGTGTCTCCGCAGCGGCTGGAGGCGATTCGGGCCGCCACTGAGGCGGACCCTGTTCTGACGACGGTCATCCGACAGCTGCAGCTGGGATGGCCGGATGACCGGCGCCGCCTGCCGGCCAGTCTAAGGGCCTTCCACCACCTCCGTGGGGAGTTGGCCTCGGAAGACGGCCTGCTATATAAGGGACGGTGTCTGGTGATACCCTCGTCTCAGCAGCGGGACATCATTACCAGACTTCACAGCACCCACATCGGGGTCGCCTCAATCCTCCGGCTGGCGCGACAGAATGTGTTCTGGGTCGGGATGACAGCCATGATTAAAGAGGCGGTCCTCCGGTGTCCGGTTTGCCTGGCATACCGGCCCTCGCAGCCACCAGAACCTCTGTCCCCGCACGAGATACCGAGTCGGCCTTGGGAAAAAGTGGCCATGGATTTGTTCGACCTTCGTGGAGAGACGTACCTGCTGATTGTGGACTATTTTACGAATTTTGTGGAGGTCGAGCCCCTCAGCCGCTTCACGGCCGCACATGTGATATCTGCCCTGACCTCTCAGTTTGCTCGGTACGGCCTACCAGAGACCCTTATCAGTGATAACGGACCCCCTTTCAGCAGTGAAGAGTTTCGGTTATTCACTAAGGAGCTGGACATTCAGCACAAGACCAGTAGTCCGCGCTATCCCCAGTCGAACGGCAAAGCAGAAAATTCTGTTAAAACCGTGAAAAACCTTATGCGCAAGGCTATGGAAGATGGCAAAAATCCACTTTGGGCGCTACTCATGTGGCGCAACACCCCCAGTGAGGGGATGTCTGTCTCACCGGCACAAAAACTGTTCGGTCGCGCCTGTCGCACGTTCCTACCGGCCCTCCGGTCCACCCTCCTCCCGTGCCACCCCTCCGACGTGCCGGAGGCCCTCGCGCGTCAGAAGGCCCGTCAGGCTTCGTACTACGACAGAAAGGCTCGACCTCTGCCTCCCCTGATTCCCGGCCAGTCGATTCGGATGCGTCTTCCCGGTCAGATTACGTGGTCCCCTGGCATATGCCTTCGCGACGCAGGCCCCCGCTCCTACTGGGTCCGGGTCGACGGCGTTACGTATCGCCGCAACCGCCGTCAGCTACTGAGCACCAGTGACCCGCCTCCGCCGCCCCCGCTGGTGGTTGAGGAGCCGCCCGTTTCTCCGCCGGACCGGCCCGTCTCTGAGCCGCCTTCGTATATGCCCCGTGGGACCGATTCGCCGATGTCCTC